GCCCTAATATCCCCGCTCAGTGCCCCCTGCCTCCACATCCCCCCATACCCCCCAGCCTGATAAATGCCCCTAGCAACCTCTGCTCCCAGCCCCCGCACACATACCTCATTGCCCCAATATACCCCCCAGGCCCCTCTATGCCCCCAGTCCCAATGTATCCCTCAGACCCCTTCTGACCCCAATCACCCAGGCCCCCCGCTCCAGGACACGCCCTTCCCTCCCCGGCCCTGGTGGGAGGCAGGTGGTGTTACCGGGCGGGGGTCACCATGGCGGCGGACGTAGGGCAGCACCTGCTCGGAGGTGACGGGCATGTGGTCCAGGATGACCTGCAGCCGCATGCCCATCATGGTTGTCAGCCAGCTCACCAGTGAGGGCGTCACATCTGCTGACAGCCGCCGCTGCAGGCACATGTGTGGGGGGAGAGGGGGTGAGTATCAGGCAAGGGGAAGGGAGCACGGCACCCCCACCCCCCTTGCCAGGGACCCAGGCATCCAAGACGCGCACACGTGTGCACACATGCGCAAGCGCACAGTCCCCAAGGTGGCCACCAGGGGAAGACACTGCCCCCTCCCTCCCCACATGCTTGATTGTTCCATCAGGGCTCAAGGGGGTGGGGGGGAAGGAGGTAATGTAATGTAATGTAATGCAGACTGTCCCTGGCAGACTGTTCCATTCCCCTCAGGTGGGGGGCAAGGTCCCTCACTGGACTGACCCCATTGCACTGAGGGGGGAAGGGAAATACTCTCATTCCATTTCCCTCAGGCACAGGGGACACCGCACTGGGCTGTCCCCTTGCACTTGTGGGGAAACACCCATACAAAACCATCCCATTGCTTTAAGGGGGTGGGTTGGAAGACCTCACTGGCCTGTGCCCTTGCACCCTGGGGGCTGGGTATGCCCATGCCAGACATTTCTATTGCCCTCAAGTATTGAAGGGAGCACACCCCCTGGCCTCTCCCATTGCTCTCAGATATGGGGGGGCTTACTTACGATGCGGTCGTTGATGACAGCGGTGAGGGCAGCCTGCTCCCCGCGCAGGCAGTACAGGTTCAGTGCCAGGCACTCAAATAGCCCCTGGTTGCACAGCTCCAGCAGCCGGGACCCAAAAGAGCTATCTGCAAGGGGGGAAGGAAATCAGGCAATGGGGGAATCTCTTCCCTGTGCAGTGCAACAGGGCCAAGAGAAACCAGAGGGCTGTGGGTTGGGAGTGAGGCGCACTGACATGAGGGGGCGGCTATGGCGGGGTGGGCTACCCCCAGGGATGTGGCCTGGCTCTGGACGAAGGTGGGCTGGCCCAAGAGGGTGAGGCCTAGTTGGGGAGGTGTGTCCTATCCTAAGGGAGCCTGCCTGGCTCTGGGCAGTGGGAAGGGCTTGTGGGGAAGTGGGGAGGGTCTCACCAGTACAGCGCAGGATGTGGGTGGCAATGCGCTGGAACTGCTCCTGCAGGAAGTCTAGGTTGGTGCGGGTGATGTCCACGCCCTCGCGCACCCGTACCGCCG